CAGACATGAACATTATTGAACATATTTGGGATGCCTTGCAACGTGATGTTCAGAAGATATCCCCACCCCCTCTTACTCCCACTGGTTTATGGACAGCCCTGCAGGATTCATGGTGTCAATTATCTCCAGCACTACTTCACACATTGATCGAATCCATGCCACGACGTGTTGCGGCACTCCTGTGTGCTCGCGGGGGCCCTAAACGATATTAGCCAGGTATACCAGTTTTTTTGGCTCTTCAGTGTATATATATATATATTAAATTAAATTTATTTTTAATAAAAAATAATTTATTATAGTAAATTTTTGAAAACGAATGTAATATATAATACATAAAAAATTTATCTTAAAACGGCGGGAAAATAATTGAAAAAAACAGAAATTGTTTTCAAAACTTTTTTTTATTATGTAAGGTACACTCTCTTCATTGTTAAAAAAACCCACAAAGACAGTTTTTTTTCATGTGGCGGATGGAAATTTTATTGCTATTTTTAGTGAAAAATCATGTTTTAAAGAGCAAAAATTTATAAAATTCTTATTTTTTGAATTATTTTTAATAGATGCGAAACGTAATTTTTCCTCCGTAAGATGATACAGAACGAGACAGTCTTTCTTCCACTACCTTCTAAACTACCTTCTTTGCAGTGTAAGCACACATGCTACCTATTAAGGCGAATAATCGACTAAATTTATAATCGACTAAGAAAAATTGCATTTGATGAATTATAGAAATTTTTAAGAATAAAATCTGTAGAATTATTAAAACGAACGATCAGTAAAACTATGTGAGAACTGTAACATATATTTTTAGAATCCTTGTCAAATGAAGTAAGACAGGGTACATAGATTGATATTTAAGAAAGAAGAAATAAAAACGACATTTAATTCGAGGAATTACTAAAGCTGAAAGAGGAACAGAAAACCTCGAATCTTGTTTGATTGGATCATTATTAGCAGATAAATCACTCTTAAAACACCTCCACGTTTTATCAGGCAATCAAACTGGTTTTGATGTTTCTCATCTTGCTTTCTCTCAAGAGATTTAACAGATATCAAAGACCTATTTGTTTCCTTCTTACTAAAATATTAATTTGCGATTCTTATTATGTGATTACAATATATATTGGCCTAAACATATATTGAGACTAAAATATATATTGAGCTGGCCTAACACAATCACCTGTATATGGATGCAGATATGCATGATCATCGATTGCTTTTTATCTCAAAATTAATTTTTATATGGACTAGCGTCACTAGTCAAATCAATTTCATAATATATGTTAACAATTATCGGAAATACTACATATACACCGAGGAGCCATTACAT